CCTGGGAATTGTGAAAGGCTGAAAGCAGCAGCAAGAAGCCATTTGGTAGTTTCTTTTTAGCTACAAATGAAACTTAAAGATTTGTGAAACATTAAAGAAAGCTGAAAGCTGATGTATATATGTAGCTGATGGCAGCTGAGTTCATTGAGACTTCAATAGTAAGTATTTATACCTGCAGCTAACTGCTGGGTCCATCTCTTAGCAATAACATCAGGTTGAGCTTGGGGGGCTGCCAGAGTTGGGGGTGCAAAGGGAGGTAGGAAAGATATTAACAAATTAAAAATTGATCTTATCTCCTGGAAATTCACACCCCAAGAGGCAGTAGCACAGTCTAACACACCATCACTCAGGGAATGCACAGATGAGGACACATAAGCCAACAGAATCGTACTGCAGGGATGCAATCACCCAGCAACTGGCCACTGAACTGAGCAGGAATTCAGCCAGTCCTTGTAATGGGAGATCTGTAACAGCACAGGAGATGCAGTTTCCTGTGTTCAAATAACAAAAAACAGCCCCCCTTCCCCCCACACACACTCACCAATCTACAAAACAACAGCTATATAACTACAGAGGAGAATGCCAGAAAAAAAAAAAAAAAACACCACCAAACAAGTATCACGAATCCACAGGCCTGAAATATATCAATATAACATGTGGGACTGTATTTATGGAGAGATTGGAAGACAAAGTCTTCAGTGAGAAAGTGAACATATTATTTGACTAGTAGCAACAACATGACAAAGACAGCTTGTAATTTGTTGTTTTAACTGGGTATCAGAGGGGCTTTCTGAGAAGCTTCACTTTGGTTCTGTGGTCTGTATGTCCCTGTTAGAATAACAGGACTTTAATTAGACATTCAGTGCTCTTTGAAAAAAATAACTTCATAATAACTCTTAGATGTGTATTAACTTTCACTGTTTCTGGCACAGAAAATACGTACCAAGGAGGAGTGTTTTGGGGACTGAAAATTTATATTTGGAAGAGCAGACTGCCAGAAAGCTCAATGCTGAGCATAACAGGTGTATTTAGCAATAAGATTTTTAATACAATAAATTATAGGTTTGCATCATTTTGTTTTAATATTTCATAATTCATCTTTAAATCCGGTCTTAGATGAATTTCCATAGCAGCCTCAGTAAGAATTTTGATTGTGTTCATCTATTTTTGGAGACAAAGGGGCCTGAAAAGTAAAGGCTGGCTTCAACTGCAGTCTGAGTTAGCAATTACATTCTGAAATATCACACTAGGCAATTCTAACTTGAGAGTTTGATGATTATTGGAAATTTACCTCCCTTTTCTCTAGACAAGGACTTGGGCCATGTTTTCATAAAGTTATCAAGGACTATACTGGTCTTTAAGAAACAGTTACCTGCAATGTGTGAAAAGTAATTGTGTTTCAAACATTATTTATTACAGATCCAACTTAAGTGACAGTTATATTTATTTAGCAAAGGGATAAAGACAAAGAGCATAAGGATCTCCTTAGCAGGAATTTTGACTGAAGTTTTCTGCATGCTCAGTGCTACACAGATCTTCTAGACAGGAAAATGACTCTCCCTATTCAAAGCCAGTATAACTCGCCCTTTGGAAAATAAAACAGAATGCAGATGAAGTATCTGTAATTCCCTTCATTTGGTCACCCTTAGGTTCTGTTCCAGGCCTGCAATCAGCTCCCTGATCGTGTTCCCATACTTGCCATGCTCCACTGTTGAGGCTGATGCAGACAAGCAGCCGCAGCCACTCCTCCGCCGCCTTATCCCAGCAGCCATTACCTTAAATGAGCACTCTGGGAACTGAGGAAAGCTTCAAGCTTTTTCCCTTCCTTTTTGAGATCAGAATTGAATTCCTAGTGCCTAAAACTCAGTCTGTAAGATTTATTTATTTCCCCTAATTCTGATGGTTTCTTTCGCCTGCCTCCAGCATCCTCTTCTTAAGTTTTAATGCTCGCAAATCCCCTTCAACATTGATATCCCATCTTGGCCCATCAATGCACATACACAAAGCTAATGCACACACACCACCAAAAAAATAATAATAAATAAATGGATTCCTATTTACCATACATATTCATTCTTTCAAGTTTTCCATTTAGTATTATGTAAATGCATCTCTTGATCTTGCATTAGAGCATTCCAAGCTTAACACTCCTAACGAGGCAGGGACTGATCTGGTACAACTGAAATATATCCAAAGAACACTCTTTATCAGATGATCCCAGATATCATCGTGGGCACTAACACAACCTTTTGGAATACAGAAAATGGAAAATAAAAGGAAAAAAATAAAAGAAAACGAAAGGTGATAAAAACATTCAGCAGTTTTCATCCTCAATGTTGTTTGTTTGTGGGTTTTTTCCCCCAAAAAGAGACTTATTTTTTAAACAAAGAGTAAGAAAAGGGAGATATGAGCAACTGTTTGTACATCAGACCAACAGCAGACTCACTTTTAAAAGCTCCATTGCTCTCAGCTTTGACATTTATGCTTAAATATTGAGATACAACTACAAAGCAACTTCGTTCCATTTGGAATTACTCTAGGAGCAAAGGAATCTCTGCTCACAGCCAGGAAGAATATCAGACCTCCAGCATCAAAAAACAAAACCCAAAGATGTCCAATCCTCCTAGAGAGTATCAAGAACCAATATAGGGGTGCCTTAGACTGTGCTTTTCCACCTGCTGTGCACAGCTAGGGAGCCAGGCTACAGGATGCCATTACTAACCGTTATGGGATCTACCAAAACAAACAACAATCACACTTTCAGTAGACCCAACTGTAAAAATGTTTTCTGAGGATAAGAAAAAATAAAAACACAGCAACTTACACCATATACGTAGACTGCTAAATAATATTCCTTTTCTCTGAAGCATGCAACTGCTTTCATTAGAAGACACACATCAGTTTGATGCTTTCAGAGTTATGCATTATCTGTAAACTCAAAAAATGATACATAATTAGACCTAATGCAACTAGGAACGAGTTCCTGTTTTACTGTCAGAGATATTCCTCAGAACTCTGGGCATACACATAGAACTTACAGCTGTGGATTTCTATATCAGCACGTAAAACTCTGCAATACAATGACCAAGTAAACAGCCTACACATTCCTGTAAGAGCCAGGCACTGCTACCAGCTGCAAGAAAGTTACAGTTCGAACTCTGCCCAAATACTATAAAATCTGCAATTTTTTTCCTGAGTAAATACATATTGCAATGGATGGAGAAACAAGATCCTTCCCGAAATGCTGCAGGGCCAGAGCTCAGCAGTTCCCCGTGTGCAGGCTGATCTAATTGGGAACGCCGCTCCGAAGCCCCAACTCCTTTCTACTTATTTTCTCTCTCCTACACCATCTTATTGCAGTGATTATTCATGAAAACAGTGGAAGACAGTGTTTGGAGATTTATAATAAGGGCAGCGCAGTCTGTTTATAGCTGTTTGTAAACACATATTCATAATCATTTCGCTCAGAAGCACAAAGCTGAAGTGTTTTTGTCAGCACTCGTCCTCCCTGCTTTCCCAGATCTCCTTCCATCAGCACAAAATTGGAAGAGTTCCAGGGCTGTTATGCTGGCCACAAAATTAAGCTGCTTTTTTTTTGTAGCAGAACTTAGCCTCACTTCAATGAAATGAGAAAGTAAACCCGTAAGGTACAGAGTCTGCAACCTTAGCTGAAATCACTGGAGTGTTTTCCAGCTTTGGGAACAATAATGAAAAACTGAAGCAGATCTAAAATTTTGTGCTTATGGATACCTTCTAAGTGTTGTTATTATTATTATTCTTTCTTAAAGCAAGAAAAGCAAATCTGGATATTCTATCATCTATTAACAACCCTGACCGTGCTACAAGGCTCCCAGAAGCAAAACCAAGAAGAAGCATGTCCGAAAAGGGGTCAAGAAAACTGATAAAAAAAAATAGAAGTGACTACTTGACTTTGTCAACTTCCACCTTTCCAAAAAATTCTCTTCATATTTCAAGATAGATGCAAAAATAGCAGCACATCAGGAAGACTAAAATGAAACTCCAAACGCTTCTCTGTGTCAGTTACTGGGAACAGAGCTCAGCTGATTCACCCCAGCCCACACTGACCTTCAGAAAACACGGTGTGCTCAGTTCTCAACCAAAACCACCATAAAGAAAGAAATAAGAGGAACCGTAAGGGAAAAAAAAAAAAAAGATATATGAAATACCCTACACTTCCCACTGGTGTAAAGATCATCCTAGTTGGATGATAATTTAATCGAGCCATCATGTTTGAGTTAGTAAACTGCTAATTGCTAATAAGCAATTCCTAAGTGCTTTTAGCTAATACTATAGTTACAAAAAACACCATTACAACATTACATGCTGAATGGAAGAGTAGGAAAGCTTGCAGATGTCTAGCACCAAAACCCAATAAGCAAAACTGACACGAACGCTCTCTCTTTAAGCATCAGAATTAACAAGTTAAAATCCTTCATCTTTTGGAGACAGCAACAAAATCAAAGCCACACACAGCACACGAATCCCCGTCAGCGTGCAGGAATAAGCTGCAGCATTTTGTTGTTTGCTGGAGGTGAGAGGGAGAAGGAATGTGGGAGAGCAAAATGTAGCAGAGCTCTTCCCTGCCCACACTGTGCTGCCAGAGGACAAAACCTACGACTGCCGAGCATTTGCGGCGCGCTCCCCCAGCAGAAGACCCCCATAAAGCCAAAAAGCAGGAAACATCCTACACTAAGGTCATAAATAAAGCTAGACTTTACAATTCACTCTTTTTTTCTTTTATACTTAACGCTTCCTGTTGATACTTAAACAAAACTAGTTCAAATGAAATATACTTCACATCAGCACCTTTGCCAAGTACGAGATTCCCAGTATCAGAATCCCTTCACCTTCCCAGAAACTTTATAGTGCGTTTCAATAGCATCAAGGGGCAGAGAGAAAGCATTTTTCTCCTGGGCTAAATTCAGAGAAGGCTTTTAGAGGACACCGTGCCCAGTGATTAACTTTTCTTACATACATACTTGTCACTTCTTGTAAGAAATCCAGACAGGGTCGGCTACTTCCAGAAATACTTATTGAAACAGCCAGTGGGGTCTGTCCTTCATAGTTCCTCGTGTTAGTGTCTGCTCCGTAATTATACAACATTTGTGCACAAAGCACATCATCTCTAAGAGCAGACAAGTGTAAGGGCGTCTGTCCGTCCTCCAAGCGCCCCAAGTTTGTGTCCGCCCCTCGCTGAAGGAACATTCGGCAGTACGAGTGATTGCTTTTGATCACAGCGTAGCGTAACAGGAAACCATTCTGAATGTCGATGTTGGCATTGTGATCCAGCAGGATTTTCACGCAGCTTGACCTCTCGCGGATAATGGCCAGCTGAAGTGGGGTAGTACCTTTATCACTGAGCGGATCAACCTCAGCCTTGAACTCCAACAGGAGCCGGACAAACGAGTCTCTGCCATAGTGGGCTGCTACATGGAGGGGAGTCCAACCGTCGTTGCTTTTTGCATTAATAATGTCACTCCTATATTCCGATTCCAACATCAAGCGCGCGATCCTCGCTCGGCCGTGCATGGCTGCGTAATGCAGAGCAGTGAAGCCTCCAATTAAGTCCTTAACCGTGGGATCAGCTGAAGTTAAAATAAAATTAAGAAACAATTAGAAGGCATTGGGGTAATCCAGTGCTGCAAACAAATAATCAAATGATTGAATGTTATTCTTTTCAAGCACAGCAAGACAGGATTTTTTGTACTTCAAACCAACTCTTGCACCAACTGCTATTGTAAAGAAAAAGCTAAATTATATTTATGAAAGAATTACACAAACAAAAAAACCTTTTCTTTCATATACATATGTTTCCATTTGACAAATAGTTTTCAACATCTTTCTAGCACTCTCAGGCTAATTACCCAAATCTCTCTGTCCATCCAGTTTTCCTCCAGCTCTGTAATATTACATTTCTTTCTCAATGTTCAACTTCTTTTTTTTTTTTTTTTTTTTTTTTTTTTTTTAAAGTTTCCCTTGTGTTGCTGCTTGGTCTTAAAAAGAAGCATGTGTAGAAACATCTGCTGTCCCAAATTGCGGATGTTTTGTGGTCTGGCAGGATTGTATTGTTTTTAGGGTGTAATACTGTATTAGGTAAAATGTTTCTCTGTGGTCTGCAGGATTTCCAAAGCATGTAGGATATATGTTATTTTAGATTATCTTGATAAAGTTTGTTTTTATAAATGATGAATCTGTTCTGAATTTATATTTTTTTTACAAAAATCTTAGATTTTACAAGAATGTAAGCAACCACGTATGGAAGGAGTCAAGAAAAAAGTTAGTGCAGAATACAAGTGATCAGACAGATACTTCCCCAGCCCCAACACAGGACAAAATCTTCATCTAATTTATGACTTTAGAAGCATAAAATAACTAAACCAATTTACTTAATCCCCCTAGACTTCTAAATCAACTGACTTTTCCCATGTAGCAACTAATTACTGAAGGAAAGGTGCCTGCCTTGTTACCACTTCTCACATCTGCAGATGCTGCCTGGTGGATGGTAAAGAATATAAACCGCAGCATGCAAGTTTGAGACACATTCCTAATAAGTTTTCCAGCTGGTAAAAAGAATGCTGCCTGCATAAAAGACTTGCATCAAGCTAACATATTTTCAGTATGCCCATGCATCTATTGAAGTGACTGCAATAGCTCTGGTATTGAATTCTTTGCCATTTCCTCATCCATAGAAGCAAGCTAAGGTCACAATATCAACTTTAAGCTAGTTTAGTTTAACAATGGTCTGAAAATGCAAAGGTGCCATCACAAAACAGGGATGAGCGTTCCAACATGGACCTCCTGTGATCACGTTCAGATAACACAATGAGATAGACACCCTACCAAAATAATAGCACAGGGAAGACAGAGTTGAGAATACAGCTGCAAAGGTAACCCCATAAATCCAGAGAATTTAAGATTTAAAGAAAGGATGGAGGAAAGGGAAAAAAAAAAAAACCAAAACCAAATGTACAAACTAATGGCGCCACAATTAAAACAGCACATGGCAAAATAAAGTGTGGGAACCACCTCTAGTAAATAGAGGAGGAACCCAGAAATAATGAAAGATTAAGGAAAGTTTAGTGCCTTAGTAGACAGCCTTCCTTTTGTGAAACGCAGAAACCACAGGGTTGCACTAACCTGAGTTTAAGCAATTGCTGAAGGATCCACAGGTTGGCAGGAAAATGCAGACCTGGGCTCAGTAAGTGATTCCTAACCTGCTCTGTGATGGTGTCTGATATTTTAGCACAGAATCAGTATGACCCACACAGTCATCAAAGACTGTGACACTACTTCCCTGTAACGTTAGCTGCTCACAGGTTCTCTCTCTGCTCTGCTCAGACTATTCCAGATTATCTCCTGAGTGGTGATAGGCAAAGTGAGTAGCACAAGCAGGAGGATGCAGCAGGATGATGCATTTTGAGAGGCAGATTTAGGGAGAAAGCTGGACATAACAGAGACAGCAGCAGCCACAGCCATTTCCCACAAACAAAAAAAAGAGTTACAAATAGAACTGACAAGCACTGTCATATTATGCCTTCTCTTCCATGCTAAGCATGCAGGTCAATCATTTCCACCCCCCAGTTGAGGCACACAATTCCAGCCTGGTTGGTCTGTGCCACTTCCAAATTCCATCAGATCTGCCCCAAATTCTGTGTATGCATTTAGCAAGTTGTTGCAATATGAAAGCAACAGTTTAGCTTACAAAATAAGGATATCTGTATCTCCCAGCGCCTTCTCTCCTCCCACAGTTTCATTACTTTTGTATCATTAAGCTCAACAAAAAGTTGCAAGCACATGTAAGACATGTATCTCAACAAGAATAGAACAACAAAAAAAATCTTAGCTAGGCAACCAAGAAATACAAATAACTAACCTTCCAAAATGAAGCCCAATAACAAAAAAAATCACAATAAAAATAATCCAATTCTCATAACGTGCTTTGGGAGACCTAATTGCACCAACTACTCCCCCAGTAAAGAAGCAATGTTAGCAAGACCAAAACATTACCCACAGCTACTAGCAAGTGTCTTGCTGCCACCTCCTGCAAAACTGTTGAATTGCACAAGGGCTTTTAAAGTCAAACCCGCGTTATGTTGCACACATTTTCTATCCATTCAGTCCCTGTACGAGCACAAAAGTAAGACTGTGATGCTGATGTTGCCTTAAAAGCTTTGATTGCTGTGATTATTTTTTTGTTTTCATTATTTTTCAAAAGCTTCAACATCATTACCGTGTTGTAAAGCATCTCTGTCCCCCGGAACACAAGCAAGGCAGAAATGAATTGGTAAAGAATTCACTTAGCTTACCTTTCAGATTCTGCAGAGGGGTAAAAAAGTACTTGGTACAAGCGTATTTAACTAGGAAGGGATGAAGCCAGCACTTGCCAGCATTTCTTTATCTTGCCTCCATCCTGATTGTTTGACAATTATAGTTATTTCTTCTCAAGCTTCCCATTAATTTGGGGATAGCAGAATCTAGAAATATGAACAGCTGCATTTGGTCACTTCTAATGTTCTTAAAATATACAGCATAATACAGTGACATAAACCTTGAGCTGCTTATTAAGGGTACCTTAATTACTGTAATCAATCTCATTTGAGATAGAAAATTGCAACACAATGATGCTCATGATCTTATTTCATGTTAAAGTTGGGCACCTCAGCTAGCTATTAACTCCAGTGTTAATGAGACCTGTTTCTAGTACTGTAACCTAGAGAATATATAGGTTATTAGGAAAGAGTCTAAAAACTTAGTTTCAATTTACTGCTCACTGGGACAGTTTCCCTTCTTTCAGGACACTTTTGCTCTATCAGTCTAATTTGGGAAGCCAAGAACACAGTGCTACTGGCTTCATAAAGTATTTCTATCACTCCCCCACAACTGGGAATTAATTCAGACCACAAGGTTTAGAAACATGGCTGCATTTATCTTCTGTTTTGAATTTTCTAGGACAACACTGATACACAAGACCTCCACGAAGGCATTACTGTTCAGACACAAAACCACCGTGAGTTGGTTTAGGAGGATGAGCATTTGGCACTCACTCATTTCTTCTGGATTCTGCATGACCTTACTAAAAATTAGATACCTTCCAGCCAAGACTAAAAATAAATAGCTCTGTTTAGACACTTCCTTTTTGAGTCTAATTTCTGGGAGTCTTCCCAAATCATTTCCTCGCATTAATGCAAGTAACAAGAAACTGTCCTGTTCAATTAGCATTGAGAGAACATCAGCCAGAGACAGCTAGCAACTACACACTGTCAAGGCTTCAGTGGATTGTTACTTCAGTGGTGTTGGGAATTAAAAAATAGTTTTCGTCCAGTATTTTATTGTCTGTCCCTATATTCTTTTGAAAGCAAAAAAAATGCATTAAAGGAGAAAAAAGGTGTGTTGTCTAAATTACTGAAAACTATCCCCCCTGTTTTATGTTGCTCTCACACTGAGCTTTGTGACTCTCAGTTGCTCCTGTGGAAGGAAAGAGCTAGCTTTGTAGCATCTCCATTTCATTAAAATGAGACAAGTGCATTAAATCAAATTCCCTGTTTCTTAATGAAAACTATGTTCCTCTGGAGTTCTGATCAAGTTTCTGCATTTCATAAGAGTCTTATATGATCTATTATCTCTGTACCTAGTTGCTATTTCTGCTGGCTTCACTCCTAAATATGAGTTGTTACTTTAGGCATTTCCCTATCTATCTGCCTCTCCTCCTTGTTTAGCAGAAAATAAATGCTTCCTCCTGTTCCACACCACCTCCACTCCCATCAGCCAATCTGCATGTACAGCACTGTCCCCTGGCTCTTTTCTTTGCTGGTGAGCAACGATGAAAAAGAAGAGAGAGAAAAAGCAGGAGGCAGCTAGGTCACGACTCCCATAAGAAGCTACCTCTTATTTCCAGGTCAGTGATCAGAGTCTCTCTCAGTGCTTATTTGCCAAAATCCATCTCAAACCCACTACCACTCAAGCCTATGTCAGTGCTCCTGCAGCATCCAAGATGTGAGGCATGGCACTCTTCCCTCAGCAACAGTCCTGCGTGTTCTCATTCCTGTACTTGAAAATAGTTCCAGCTCTGCTAAGCTCCATCACCACCAGACAGCCACATCTATCAGTCCCACTAACTCTCAGGTACCCTTTTTTCTCTCCACAACTCCACCTACTGCCTCCCCTTTATTACTAATAGACGCTCAGTCACTTCTGTGCTGTTTACCATAAGACTCATACCAGAAAATGACTTTTCTCTTCATTGCAGTATCTTTTTGGTCCAAAGGGATTAATATCCAACATCAAATTAATCTACTTCAAGAGGGAGGAAAGGGGAGGCTGTTAAGAAAGGTACACACAAACCTCTCTCTAATGAAGCAGGCGTGATTAAGTTTGCTTTTAACAGTCAACTCATTGGCTCACTTTTGTCATTATTATGTTTTAAATACTCATTATCTTTTATGTTTTTGTTGTTTTTGTTTTTAACATTATCTGTTTTGAGGGAAAACAAGGTAAGGCACAAATCAGTGCCAATTTTCTGAACGGAGGCTCATCTACAGAAAAAGCTGCTGTAGATGACTAACTCTCACACTATTTGTTACTCAACTTTCTAGTCCTGGTGATTAAACTCTTGGCTGCTTGCAGAACAAAGATGTCTCATTACAGGCAGTTTTCACCAGGCATCAGATTCAGCTGGTACTTCATATGGAAAAGAGTAACAACAAAAAAATAAGAACAAGACAAAACATTATGCCAGCAGCTATTTAATAGCAAAACCTATATAATTAAAGTAAGTAGGATTTACAGGGTTTTTTGATCATCTTAAACATCACGTCCTTTGAGACTCAGCCTATACATTTTGAATTACCAAACTAAACACAACTTCAGATTATCTACATATATTTCCTTTAAAAAGCAGAGTTTAAAGTTATTTGTTTGTGCAATTCAGTAACTTTCAGTAACCTCCAATAAGGATAGAAGAACTTCCCAGTATTACATCATTAGAAATTGCAGTAGGGATATAAATGGGGTCTAGATGGTCAGGCTGTGTTTCACTACTGCTTTAAAATAACACACCACGAATTGTGCAAACACCACACTTCATTAATACCATTCAATATTAAGAGTAACGTAGTATATGTTAGATGTAGAAATCTTAAACAAGGGGACCAGGACCAAACCTCAGATAAGTAAAGCACCAAGAAGATGATTCGTTTCAGTTTCCATAGGACTAGAAGCCATCCTGATTCAGAACTAAGTTGATTAGAACAGTGCTAGAGTAAAAGATACTGTTCTTAAAGAACACTACTCAGAACGTGGAGATCATCTGATTCTTGTTTTTCCCCCCCTCATCTCACATTAAAAGCTTAAACCCAACAATTTTTAAACCAATAGATGGCCTTAAAAGAAGATACAGAAAAAAATTCTGACTGTACCATTTGGGGAATAAGCACCACTCATGCAGTCACATCACTTAAAATTCAATCAGTTCTTTAAAGCTTCAGTACCAATGGATGCAGGAGGAGTGTGAACTCAGCTGGACTAGTTAACACTAAAGTCCTTGCACAAAGTAATATTTTCACAGAGTTTAGCAGACTGTGTTAAAACCTACATGGAAACTCAAACTTTTAACGTGACTTGTTAACTTCTTGAGAATTATGAAACAATCTTCCCCAAGACTTCAACCCAAAGACCTGCCTTCCTGTATTAAAAGCCCCTAACAGTAGAAAAGCCCATAGCGAGTCCTGTGAGTGTGTTTAAGTTTATAATGAGCTCTTTGCCCTGTTTTTATAATGCGTAATCATTCTTTTAACAATTACTTGGCAATTCTGAAACAATGTCAGGTTTTAAGTTATACAGCTAATCTATTACCTCATTCACAGAGCATGCATCGGACAGAAACAGAAAAGAAGCAGCAAAGAAAGAGGAAAAAAAACAACCCAGAAGTAGTCTGGCAATTAAAGTGATGCTGGAAAGCCATACAATGGGAATTGGGATAGAGAGCTGTGAACTGGGTACCAAGTTTTTTCTCTCTAGGCAACTCACCTCCATGTTCAAGAAAAACACGGACACATCTCTCTTTCCCTCTCGCTGCAGAGAAATGAAGCAAGGTCCAGCCATTGGCATCTCGACCATTTGGAGAATATCCTTGCTCCAGCATTTTGCGCACGGTGTGAACATCGCCAGCAGCAACTGCAGCCTGAATCTGCAATTCTTCCTGTAGCTCAGGGTTTCTCCGACAGTGATGGTGTAACATCCTAGCTGAATCTGGCTTTTACAGAAGCGTCATGAGGTCACACTGGTCACCCTGAATCAATAGAAAGCATGAATTAATTAGGACTGCGATCAGGAAAGAGATCTAGAAAAATAATTAGTACTAGAAAAAGCAATGCTAAGATGTACTCTCTATATGCAGAGCAAAGTGATCTTCTACATAGGATAAGATTAAGCACAATCTCACTGTTGCTAGCAAAAGCTTGGGATACGATTCACATCACTGAGCAGTAACTGAAGAGGACACTCGCATATAATAAATAGTAAATATTTTCTTCAGAGGCGACAGCAAGCCACAGTTAAAGTACCTGAATGAGGAATCTCCAGAACCCAATATTCATTTCAGATCACAACATGGTTAATAACACTGACTCAAGAGATACCGTTGAATACATTCTCTAAACTGTTCCATGAAACAGTACTGTATTGCTGAACCAATTTTTCCCCTGTCTAGTAATAAATAACCTCAAAGATTAATTGAAAAAAATATGTTCAGATTACTAATACAATGTTTTCTTGTGACCTGCTGCACAGGAATACTAGCAGCATCAATGTTCAAACTGAGAACTTTAACCCCCTTTCTCCTTGTACTTTGTTTTTTTTGTTGTTGTTGTTTTGTTTTAATTAGAATCTTCTGCCCATATTTTGGCTTTTGGGCTTCCTTATTAGTACATAAAACACTGTAAAGGATCTTCATATTTCGAAGATCTGACAAAGATGGTACTACATGAGACACGAAAACACATATCAGAAAAATTCAATTTATAATTACCTTGATAAAGTATATGAGAATGCTGGGCTGAAAGGGTCTGTAAAACAGCCATTGCAAAAGAGCCTAGATACCAGCATATGCTGGGAAAGAAATAAGTATAATATTCTGTGCTCTGTCTGAAAAGCACTCATCTGCACTTCTACTTGCTACCCAGCTGGGGACAAGAAAAAACACACAGGTATTTCAGGAGTCTTTCACAGTACAAACTGTGAGAAGTGTTTGCATTTTCACATGCACTGTGCATCATATCCCATTAACAACTACCCCTAGAATGGAAAGGAATATTAGAAGAAAGAATAAAAGCAGGGAAATGAAGAAAGGGAATGCTGAGCAACAGAAGTCACAGCAATTATCCAGAAACAACTGCAGTGGATATTAACAATGAATTAGAAGATTTTAAAAGGGGGAAAGAAGAAAGAATTTTGATTGCTATAAAGTTGAGAGTAAAGTATAATGAGAAATTCTGAAGACAAAAATAAATTTTTAGAAAATCGTTAAAATTTACAGCAACCCTGTTTAATTGGGATAGCAACCCACATCATCACCTAAACCTTCATTTATGTAAATATAAGGATTTCACATCCTCATGATTCATAGGTCATTCAAAAGACACTGCAATCAACTCCTCAAATCCCACTGGGTGCTTGTTTTCCTGTGATCCAGATATGCACACAGACAATAGAAAAGTGAAAACATCAATCACTGCCATCCTTCTGGATAAAGGCTTCAAGGGCTATTCACTCTACTTCTAACCTGCTTGTGCCCATTGCAAAAAAGTTATTATGTGCTGCTTGCAGAGATAGAAACTATAATGAACAGGTAGCTACAATCACCCTACTTACACAGCAACAGCAGAGATTACATACAGCCAATGCCTGCCATTGACATTTATTGATGCTTCAAGATAGCACGTATGCCATCAGTCACTAATTCAGCATAGGGCTATAGAATACAACTTTTTAGCTCAATAGATCATACATGGCTTAGATACAGATTTGGTTTTGTTTTATAGCACGAACTCCATTATCTGGTTCTGGAAGAAAAGTGGATTCACAAACTGGCACCTGCCACCTCAATGGCTCAGCTTTTGCCTCATTCAAAAAAAAAAAATCAAACTTGACTAATCTAATGACAATGGAATTGTTTCTACCGACTGTAATACATTTTTGCTAAGCTCTTTTCTAAATTCCAATTAGCACTTCAGAATGCTCTCACCTGTAAGACAGTGAGCTTGACTTCATTAACAGTGCTGTTAGTAGTGCGATCTAGAATGAAATTCCAACTATAAAGCAAGGTCTTTCTTTGGATTTACAAGTGAAAGCTGACAGTAGAACTTGATCGATAAAAGATGTGAGTTGGGGTGAAATCCTTCAAAACAAAACAAAAGCAACAATAAAAAATAAATATCAGAGCACACTCTTCCAGCCCTACTTTCTGAATATGTAAAAAAAATATATGAAAATTTCTTTCAAACTGAGAATATATGATGGAAAGGAAACATAAACAAACATTCTCCCACATTTTTTTTATAGGCCTTTCTGGTAAAGGAGTAGTACTTGTAAGATCTCCTACTATCCTGAAAACAAAAGTCAAACCAGTTGTTCAAAATGCTACAGAGAGAAAGGGAGACCACACAAATAAGAAAAAATGGATTTCTCATTTAAGGGGCCAACAGCTACCTTAAAAAGTACCTACAAAGACAGTTGGTTAAGAAAAAGCAAAGCTCTTTATATCACACTTCTCAGCTGGTGGGTACATTTGTAATGCAGCATTATAAAAAGTTGGCACTGGCCCCATATGTTGCATGTGACTAGCAGAGCTTATTCAAATCAGCTAGTACTAAAGTACGTAAGTACTAAAACATACAAAGCAGAAGACAAAGTCAAGCATAAGCAGCTCCTTTTATCACTTGTGTAGTTTCTGTGAATATCTACTCTTCTATCTCACCCCTATGGCAAGCAATAAAATTCAAATTACAAGAATGCTTAACTGCAACACTGAAGGTTTCAGGATAGCTCCAGACACATGCCAGCTTGGAAATTATGCTCACTTCCACTCCACAGATCATTCAGACACCCTAATTACAAATCATCATTTACAGCGTTGATCTTTGGGGAAGGGAAGAGGGTCTACTGGAAGCCTTTCTCCAGTGGGCACTTAATATTTAATGCTTTGCAACTATAACTGATCTCATTTAGAACACAGTATGCAATTTGATTGCTGCACATTGGCTTCCTATGTTCAAGTAAAAAATTAAGATGGAAAAGTCTGGAAAATACATACCTATACAATTGTTAATATTAGTATACTGCCATGACAAAAAATGACAGTAACAAGAACTTAAGTGATCCTGCAAGTACAAAAGCATGAATTCAACATGTCCCTGAATTACCTTATAAGAGGTTGTCAGTCTTTGATGGATGTTCCATTCTTCATTTTCTTCACTATTCATAATCTTGTGTGTCCATGCGTGTCAAACAACCTGCTACCCCTTAAAAAGAATGATATTTCTTGTTAGGTGCCAATAGTAAGAGTCAGAGGTCTACCTGTTTTTACTCTGTACCAGTACTAGAGTGCTACATTTTAATGTAGTTATGTCAAAAAAGGCCACAAATACGTGGGTTTTTTTTTTTCCCATTATCAGATGGTCCTTCAGAGGCTGGGGTGAGAAGAGTTTGCTTCTGCAAAGATGAAGAAAAAGCTACAGAGAATAATCTGTGGAAAGCAAGAGAACCCAGAGAGGTGCTTCCTCTGTGGAGTAAACCTTGAAGGAATCACCTAACCTCTTCTCTGACAGTTTCACATTCCTGTTCCTGCTATGGAACAAGAAAGAATGCAAAGGTAATTGTATGTATTTCTGCCCAACAGCAGAATGTTTTCCTGTGGGAGCCAAGTGCCGGGAAAAAACACTTGGCTCCTCCCAAATCATGTTGGTTCTTTATCTCCATCCCATTTGTGTTTCTCTGTCTCAAGAATATAACCTGAGAAAGTAGAGCATTGTCTTTGCCATCCACTGTCCTGTGACCCTCCGGCACCACCAGGTAAGCCTTCCTTCCCCAACATGACCAACTCGAGCTAACATACACTGTGTTTAAGATAAGTGAACACACCTTCCCAACACACGCAATACCTTCAGCTCAAAAATCATCACTTAAACCCCTTCCTTTCAGTGTCCAACTTCACTGAGCTCCAGTACCCATCCCTACCCAGTTCCTAGCCTTTCTTATCCTTCCTCCTGGCTGATAACAGCACCAGTCCCAACAACTGACCTCTGCTCAAAGCACTTCCATGAGCCTTTCCTGGCCACTATTTCATTAATTCTCCGTACACTTCTGTCCAGCTGGCATTTCATCCACTTAGTCTGAAAGATCCTTGAGAGAGGGCCCTCCCCATTCTTACACACTGCAATAATGTAACAAATAATAAAAGCATTAATTACTTCATTGTATAGCAGATCACGCAGACTGGGAGTTGCTTCTGTTGCATCAGAACAATTTTAAGAACTGAACCTTCAGCTTAAAATTTGTCACTTTGTGCAACATATGATTGTGCTTTGCTGATGATAGCTCAGAAAAAGAGGATGGAAAAAAGCTCTTCATCCCTCATATGCACGTTTTCTAAGAGCTTTGCTTCTCAAGATAAAACACACGAGGTCTGCAGATATGCTCACAGCCCTGCACAAAACTGCACTGCCATGACCTAATTTGATCACATTTCCAGCCTTGTTTTTGCATAGTTGATCAGTTGTTAGTTCACCTTCTCCTTTTTTCTTTTTCTTTTTAATTTTTGCATGATTTCCACTTAAAAACCCACACATTTTTTATTAGCTGATGCAAATTAGAATTGCACTGACTTCACAGACTACAGACAAGGTAACAGATTGCTCCACTAAAAAAGTAACAAGCATTTTTCCCCCCAAAGGAAAATTAGCTGCATATGGCAAGAGTAAGATCTGTAACTTTAATAAAAAGAAGTTATATTTAGTGAAAGTAAAGCTCACTTACTTAACTTGACAAAGTTTGCTTAAAACACTAATAATTTTAGCAAAGTAGCACACTAAAAACAAAAGAAACATCCTCCTTATCTACAGACAAAGTACCATGTTATCCAAGACACCTTAGACTTTTCTACATCAATACATCATTTCATTAAAGTCACTGCATACATCACGCAGAAAACAAATTCCAGCACGTGTATGCACTTGTTTATAATGCAGTATTTTGTCCATTCAGATGGCCAACAGGACTGACCTCTGAGCCATAAGGTCACACAGCCAGCAGGAGGACCACCATACTTCTTGGTGTCAACATAGCTGTATAAAGCAGGAAAAATGTTTCATGACACGACTTATTGTCTAGCATGGAACTAACCACAGCAAGTTGTCTGTGAAGCATTCTAATACATTTAAACCAAAGAAATAACATAGAAGGAAGTCCTATGGATTAAGGATAATCAGCATTCATGATTCTCACAACGCACTTTTCCTATCCCTTTCAGAACTCAAGCTAAATGTGTTTTCATTCAAATGGCATTTCGGAAATGGGCAGTACGTGTTTGACAAACAGTTTAAATGCAACTATCATCTTCCTATGTCACTTAGCTTCCTATTTCAGAAGTTCTACAGACAGAGAAAGGCAAACAACCATGTTACTGTGTTCTTATATTCCAATCAATGTTTGCAAATAAAAAAATGCATGAGATGCCAGTATTTCACAGGGCCTTATGACTCTGGGGAGCTGGAACCAGACGATCTTTGAGCTGCCTTCCAACCCAAGCCATTCTATGAATATACCTTATGTTAGCTGCTATATGCTGGACATCAAGTGAGGCATTCAAGGGGCTAAAATGAAAGTCACCAAGCTGCTAGTGCATACTCCTGGCACCAAAAGCAATGAGTTTATCATGCATTAATCCTCCTAAACATTACTACTTCAACTACTTCAAAAGAAAGAAGCTTCACTCTCCATGAGTGATCATTAAAAGTTATACATTTCTCATGAGAGCACTTGTAATGCCATCTTCTGGCTTGGACATATTTAAAGTAACAGAGAGTTAATCTAAAAGTGCTCCATCAGCTTCAGTTGTGTGTAACAGCAATCTTGCTGCCATTATAGACTAATGAGCAGCTGTTGAGCTGTTATATTCTGCAGGTGAACAAAACTGAATTTTAGAGGTATCATTTTACCAACTATTTACCAACATTTCATGGTGAGATGTGAGGTCTGTCTTTTGAACCTAATGTAGAACTAGGGAAATTGCCCAGCTCAAGTAAGTGCAGGTCTGCAAACAGGAGAGCAACAGATAAACATCATCTTCAGCACCCACTGTTAACACATCAGCTCAAACCATCCTCAAAATCCCCATCTGTACACTGGCACCTTGTGGATACAAACGGGACCTTGTGAAGAAAATGTCATAGATCTAGTAACCTCAGTGTTAGTGCTGAAGGAAGGCCTTACAGATCTTTTGCAGGTGAGAATGTTGCATCAGTTCATACAGCTGCAATGCTCCTTCCCCAGTCTGCACAGGGCACCTGCAGGGAGCCTGCAGCACGCTTTGAGATGGAGCATAAAAGGCAGCCCCACTGCTGACTTACCGTTAGCAAGCTTCAAACAGTACAAATATAGAGAAAACTTAGCCTTAAAAGTAAGCAGTAATTCAGAGCAAGTGTTAAGGTGTAAGATTTACCCATTTTAACATTACTTGCTATCACTAAACTATCCCAACACCAACTTTTCACTGAATGACAGAAGCAGGAAAAAAATCCACAAACTAATTTAAACCTCACTACAGTAATCGTTTCAGTCCTGCTACTCATGACACAGCTGATGAGCAAAAACAGTGCTGCTTATGGAGCTCATTTTACTTAACAGTCTCCATAAGATGTGAAATAGCTCTGCTTTTTTTTAATAAGGCCTAGAAGAACCAAACTGGACAGAATTAATTGAATGACTTCAGTGGATAAAGCAACGGTGTTTTACTGCAATAGTATAATTCTGCAAGCAAATGCTGGAACAGAAAGCAGCCTCTCACTCCACACATTCCCTTTAAGGGTTTAGAATTCACAATTAGGAAAAACAAAAACAGTGGGTATGTAACCTGAGGCTAAAAATAAGAAAAACACTGGATATGCAACTTAATCTAAGGGGGTAGCTCTACATGCAATGTGCTGCATTCCTTCCAGAGCCTGAGAGGAAGGCTACAGCACATCATTTGTCTCTGTTCCTTGTTTTGATCACGTGTACATTTCTGGCAGAAGCTCATGCCCCAGTGCCTGTGAACCCAGTTCCAACCTCTGCACCTGGATCAAACTTTGTTGCATTGGCATTTCATATCAGGAAGGAGCCTAGCAAGTCACAAACGCTCAAATTTCTCAAAAGACCTCATGGCTCATCAGCACCAAGATGTTGTGGTGTTTGAGTAGCTACACTGATGCAAGCTCTCACGTTAAATGCGACAGAAGGGTTACAAAGAGGTTGTTATAATAAACCAACATTGTATGAAGCAGGTGCACCATGGCTGCACTGGAAAGTTAGCATTAATGCACTTGTCATATCTAGCTGCATAGAAACCACTCCTGCAATCACACCAGGCCTGTCTACGTGCTCCAGCATCGTACATCTGGTTTTGTGGTATGCTATCAAAATAGCACAGACTATTTCTTCACTCTGTTTTTAAAGTACATACCTCAGAATTGGTTGTCTTTGTGTTATGGGGCAATTTTCTACTTAATCTTTACAGCACAACAGTGAAAACAACATTTTCACCATATGCTGAAAATACATCAGAATAAAGATCCACCCTTGACCACAGCAACAGGTACTCTATCCGCTGCAACTAACACTAGAAACAATTCATTTCTGATAACAAAAACCATTCTGGTACAGTCAGTGACATCTCTGAAAACAAGATAAGGACCAGTGGGACCCATATTGAGGATGCATTTGCCAAAATAACACAAATTCATCTACATTTGAAATGGATTACAATCGAGTCAGTACAGATCTTGCATTAGACCAGGCATGAGCACCATTACTTGGAGCACATAACAGTGGGATGCAGAATAACACTGACTGACATTAACCACCCCCCATTGTATTCCCCTCCAAAGCCCATCACTTCACCTTCCAGCCACATAAAACAGGAATTCTCCCTACAAGCCACTCTTGCTCTGAAACCAAACCATCCTCCTCTCAAGGCAGGGCTCAGTTTCTGATGACTCCTTTCATTTTTTCCCTTAAGCATCCAACAGCACTATCTTATTCTGTCATCTCAACCCACAAAGTACTTGTAAACAAACACCACCCAATTAAATCCACTGGAATTTTTGCAGCTTGGTTATAATACAAAAACCCTGACCCACACAGAAGTTTGGTGCAACTAAAACCAACAAAACCTAATCACCATGACCTACTGCAGCAACAACTGCAGAATCAGAGCAGGAACAAGTTATGTCAGCAGGAGGAAAGGCTGAAGGGACCCTCACCATTGCCCTGAGGGAGGTCATGTTAAATGACACTCCCCATCCCTGGAGGTGTCCAAGGCCAGGGTGGATGGGGCCCTGGGCAGCCCAAGATGGTGGGGGACACCCAGCCTACAGTAGGGGGTGGGGCTCCATGATCTTCAAGGTCCCTTCCAATCCAACCATGCCATGACATACCTGAGCTGAAGGGACACCAACACATGTTAAGGAGTAACCTGTGATCAGAAACACGTCTGCAGATTAGATTCAGATGACAAACTGTTACAAGAAGGAAAGAGTCCTTCAATTGGGCTTCAGAGCTTTTAAACCCAACGCTCAGAAGCACGCAGGTTCTGGGAGAACAAAGAGACCTAAGAATGCCCACAGAATCCACCAAAACCACATTGAGGACTGCAGACCCAGGCAAACCGTGCAGCAGGGGTGACTCTACGCGGATTATCACCTTGCTGGGCACTTGGGAGCGTTGCTTTCTTTCTTCTGTCTCATTCCATTCTTTGCAGTCCCGATTTTAAGGCAGCTTAAACCTGAAAAAACACACGAAAGTAGAACTGAACCATGCAATGACAGAAACTGACAGCACAACGGCCGATACTAAAGGAACAGCAGCCCGAAGCAGGAAAAGCCCTCACGGATGAGCCAGAAGGGCTCGTTCAGCTCAGAGAGGGGCTCTGTACGAAGCGCTGAGGCCGAGCCCGCCCGCCCTGTCAGCGCAGCCCCGGAGCTGAGGTGAGCGCGGAGGAAGGGACAGGAAGTCCCCGCCGAGCAGAGCTGTGGGAAATCCGGAGCCGTCCCCGCTCCGCAGCTCCGCGCCCGGAGAGGCGCCGCCGGGGGCTGAGGGCCGCGCACCGCTGCGGGGTCACCGGCGTTCCCCTCAGCTTCGCCGCCCCGGGAGCGCACAGAGCGGCCCGGGGCAGCCCCGAGGACGGGCGGGGGGGGCGGGGGGGGCCGGCAGCGCGCCCACGTCCGCAGGGACAGGCGGTGAGAGGGCAGCTCCGCGGAGCGAGGGGGCTGAGGGGAAGCCGGCGGAGGCCACGGGGTCGCGGCACCGGGAGGAAAGCGGGGGGCGGCCGGAGAGCACCGCGGCCGTTACCTGCGCGCCGGCGGGCTCCGCGCTGCGGCCGCCCCCCGCGCTGCGCTGACTGCCGGCGGCGGGGCCGGGCCGGCCGCGGGAAGGGGCCGCGCCGTGCGGGGACACTTTGCACCCAGCCGCCCCCCGCGGCTCGCTGCGGGGTCAGCGGGCAGGGACTGACCTCCGCCGCAGCCAATCAAAGGCCTCCGCGCTGGGCCCGCCCCCGGCCGCTCGCCGCCGGAGCTTCCGATTGGTCACCGCGCTGACGGCGGCTCCGCCCGCCGCCCGTGGCCCCACCTTTGCCGTAAAGGGAACGGGGAGGGCTTTGCGACAGCGGAGGGGGGAGGCTGTGGTGGTTCCGGTGATCGAACGGAGGAGAATTGGGCCTTCCCGCTCCCTGTCTCCCGGGGGCGGGTGAGTCGCGGCGGTCGCCTAGCAGCCGTCGCCTAGCAACGGGGCGGGATGGCGCGGGGTGACTAAGCGGGCCGCGGGCTTCCAGGAGGGGGCGGGGCTTGGGGGGCGCGAGGCGAAGGCGGGAACGCTGAAGGGGCGCTGAGAGAAACCTGAGGGAGCCCGCGCTCGGGGCGGGTGGGCAGAGGCCGAAGGCGCTGTAGAAGAGCAGAAGCGTTGTGCTAGGCCGTTGGGTTATTTACAGCCTCTGAAGGGAAATGACGTTGTGTTAGAGGGGGTTACGGTAATTCAGCGCTGAGCACAAGCTGGTTTAAGCAGAGGTGAGCCTACGTAGTCGCTGCAGGTACGCAGCTTGGGTTTGAGGCCCTTAAAGCTGGCAGGCTCAGATGCCGTCTCAGGTCCGTTGTTTCTTTTTCCATCTTGTTTTCATCTCTCATTTCTGTCTTTGCAGCTCCACGTGGTTTTATGCCTTTAAAGCCTAACTAAAGCGATGGTGAGAATAGTATGCAGGAAAACGTGTTTTTTTCTATACAGCTTTCCTCTCTGTTTGATTCGTCTCAATATAAGGTTTCAGAACTGGTTCCTGTTGTTTATGCAGGAGTCTGACACTATGGGGCCTTGTCTTAATTGTTTTTTCGATGCTGTCATGAATAACACAAATAAATAACACGAGTGAGGGCTGGGGTTGTCATTTCCTTTGTGTGGATGCAATTGCTTTTCTTTACTCTGAGTTTTCCACCATACCTTCTTACTGTGGCTGAGCCAAACTCAGTCTGTCTGACATTTCCCTCTTTGAAGTTAAACCTCTTCAAAATAAGCCCCTCACGTATCTTTTTTAATGACTTCACCAGTCCTCTTTGCAAAGTGCTCTGCAAATTAATGCGGTAACACAAATGTGTGATGATGGAATCAGGGAAAGCACAACTAATATTCGTGTGGTGAAGGTAAAAATTTCATAGCGTGTCCTGGAGGAGTTCTAAATCTCTCGTGCTCTTACAGCTTTGTTGTGTTGCATGAATTTGTGCATGACAGATCTGTTCATTTGCCACGAAGAATGACAGCTCAGGTTGGCTTTGAACATAGAAGCAAATATGCTGAGATAATTTTACATTATTAGATGTTCTTGTAGGAAGAAATAAAACTCAGAGATGGAAACAATAGCTACATAAAATATTCTAAGTGATTTGTGAAGAAGTTTTATGATGTTTTGGGCCATAAATTTCCACCTCAAGTAGAATCACAAATAGATTCTTCAGATGAAGAGGGAATTTAAAGTATCAGATCTAATCTCTAACGTGTGGAATGTGGGACAGGATTCTTAGGTCTGCTATGGATCAGGTGAGGTACATTTTGAAGTTGCCAGGTCAGCCATTGCTGTCAAAAATTCCCCAGCAGAGGGAATTGGAGATTATTCCCTACAGGGAAGTGCTTATTTTCTAATTTTAGATTCTCTTAAATCTACACCAAGAGAAATACTGCTCAGTTGTGGCAGTAGGCAGCAGCCTGGGTAGCAGGTCTTGGTCTACCTCCACTAGTCTGTGGCTTTGGGAAGCCATTTCATCAATGCATATTTCAGTTATAGTTTTAAAAGAAAAAAAAAATAATCACATAACAAAAATGAAAGTGTAATCCTTAATGCTTGGTAGTTTTAAAAACGTGTGAAGATAAACTAAATAAACCTTGGTAACCTCAAAGTTTGTTAATATTCTCCTAGAAAGCAATATTTTTTTACATATTTGGTGTGATGACAACTGGAATTATGATTAAAAACATAGAAGGGGAATAGCTAGTCTTTATTAAGAGACTGAGCTGTTTTCTTCCCTTGTTAAGAGATGGGATACTTAACATTTAACCAGCAGCCAGCTAGAGACAGATGGCTGCAGGAGCCTGCCTTGGCTATGCCAGGTTTAAAGAGAGGGGGATCCCAAAAGCATACAAAAAAAACTCCCATAAAAGAAAATAAATTCCACTCTTAAATTCACAGTAGATAAAAGATAATGAATTTCTTTTATTAAAAGGGCAGTTGTTAGACAATATATTAGAACTGTATAGAGTAATATCACTGATGAAAAAGAAACCCTTGTGATCACGCGTAAATCTGTTTTCTGGAGAGATCTGACACCCTTTTAGCCATTTGCATATTGACTGGAAATTTTGGGGTGCTTAGCTGCTCACACTTTAAGGAGAAATTTGAATTATTAATACGTTTTCTTGTAAAGCTACACTGAATGTTCCAGCAATTGAAAGAAACATTCCATTAGGTTTGTGATAAAGGTTTTCTTTTAAATCTTTCTCTGAATGCTTAAATGCTTTTAAGGGCCTTTTACACTTTAAATAATTTTTTTTTTTATTTTAAACTTCTCAGCCATTGGACCCCTGAGACCAAGCTTAAAGGCATAGTTGACCTTTTGTATTATATTAAAAAAAAAACTGTTTTGGATTACAAGATTTACGTGCTCAGAGTAAGAGTTTTGCATGTGCAGAGGTAAATGAATTCTTTGGTCCTCCTTACTAACTTAGTCCAGTTCTCTCCTGTATATTCACACTACTCCCCTTGAGTCTGTGTGCAACAAAATATAGGACTTATCCTTTTGGTGTCTTTGTTTTTAAGTAGAGTGCAATTGTCCTGTTCACCCTTAGTGGAGAAATAAACACTGTCAGTTCAGATGAAAATTCCCACTTGAAACGTCATACCTGTTCATCAAGCAATCCCTCACAAAGGAAATGAGGATTTAGTAGATTTAGCAGCATGAAGATAGAGAAAGATTTTATTGAAGTTCTCGTATCATTCAGAAGCAGACCCTGGAAATTGTCATCTTTATTTTTTGTTAATTCCTGCAAATCTATATTTTCAGTAGTATTGGAACTGTAAATTTCTTCACTGCATTGTAACTCTTATACTTTATGAATGTTACACTGGGACAAAGTTTTGTGCAACTGTTCGTTTATCACTCATTTAACTACAGAGTAATTGCGCTTTAAGTTTAATATGGTAGTACAAAGTCTAAAAATGTGTGGTGCTCCTTCATATCTTTATGGTTAGCTATTAAGTTCAGCAACAGTATAATCTTTTTTTCTCCTAGGTAACTTAGAAGAGGAATGCCTATTAGCCTGTCTCTTTCTCTTACTGGATAAAAATAACTTCAAAGCTGATTTGCAGCAATCAGAAATAATTGGTGAAGACCTACAGCATTCTGCGTTACATCGGATGTTCTCACAATGAAGATATCTCTGCTACAGCAGATGTATAAGGATGTACTGGCAGGCACTCCGTTACCAAAGGAAAGCTATTATTACACCTCTTTTCTTAATCTGTGTGTTGGGTGGTCACAAGAAAGAGATGAATTGTGTGATCTGCCATCTAGTGATGACAGTATTAGGAGTCATCAGGATGCTGTTATCCCTACAACAGATGATGTATCACATAATTTAGCAAACATGAACTTCTCATTTTGTCCACGAGAAATGATGCTGCTTCAATTAACTTTGATCGAAGTGCTGGTTGCTAAAGCGCAGTCTCAGGAAATTGAATTCAGAACAAGACAGAAGTACCATGAAATCCTTCTCCTCCTTTTGAAAGAAACACAAGTTGAGTCAAAATTGGTAAGGTTCTATAACCTGTGAGAAGATTTTGGCAAAAGAAGAGATATGGAAGGGGTGCTACTTAGATATTGTTTCTTTTTATGTATCTGCAGGTTTGTATTCTCAGTAGCCATGATCAGCTGTTATCTCATATGGCTTCAAAAAGTTTAGCATCTCTTGTACATTTCCAACTGAAGGAAGAAGTGAGTATCATATAACTTATCACAGCTTGAAAAATGACTTAATGAATATGTTCCTACAAGTTTCCCCACTTGAGCTTTACAGCCAACTTTTTGCAGCCTTTACATGGCACAAAAGTAGTTGTTATTTGACTACTCTATAATCTGAAGTGACTTATTGAAAGTATCCTTTCATAATTAGACTTACAGAGCAATACCAGTGCTGCTCTTTTTCTATATCTGTTGCCTGTATGTCTCTGCTGCACCTTCAGAAATCAGAGTTGCATTCTAGTGATGTTCAGCATATAGATTGTTAGCATCCATGTCCAAAAACTGCCACACAGTTTTTGAAATGCATTTAGCATCAGGATCACTGTTGTAGCAATTGGACAGACTAATACCATAGGAAAGGTATTACAACAAAGGTGTAATAATGGGAGAACCAGTACAATAGAAAGGTGCTATAAAAGAAGAAAATTGCTTACTGTATCAGAAGATTCTAGGTTCACAGAGGAAAGCTCCACCAAGGAGAAATCTCCTGAAAGAAATCCATACCTAGTGGCAGTCAGCCCTT